TTGCTGTTACAGCATTTAAAAATGTGGCTTGTCTAGTGCAGTTTTAGTATCCAATGTGTTTTACCCTGAGTGCCCACACCCTTAACCAAATGCAGCATAAAGCAACCCTGCCTTAGCAACAGTATAATCTGCTGAGCATCCACATTATGGAGGTACCACCAATTCCAAAAGACAGGAATTGCATGTATGCCCCCACCAGCAACATGACTTCATCATCCCGAAACAGACTTATAGCACATTGCGGTGACCACAAGAGGTGAGGCTACTAGAATGTTATGATGGGGTAAAAAATCCTGACATCAAAAGGCAGGTGCTTCCGCTTGTCTAGTCCAGAAGAAAATCTGTGTAACAGGTCAATGTGAACCCCTTAATTACACAATTAAGTTCCAATGTCAGCCATATTTGAATTAATAAAGCCTTATAATTTGCTGGGCAGTAATTTAAGGGTTATAAGAACCCAGAGACCACAAGATTTCCTTAAAGGAAAGCTCCATCAGATGAGGCCACCCACGTAACTGACTTCTGACACTCCAGTCAGATGGCACTGGAATCTTAACTGGGTGTAATGTCAAAGGGTGACTAGTACCCAGCTGAAAGAGCTGCCTGGTGTGGCATTATCTGGGTCAATGCAAGCAAGGAAGACAAGAATGGATGAGACCGATACAAAGGCGCCTGCTGGAGGATGGCAAAAGATGGCATTAACTCTTGGAGACGGACTCAGCAAGTGCCTGTGGGCAGCTCTCTCTCTCTGTGCGCTATTTCCAAAAGGAGAACCTTGTAATTACAATAAAGCGGCCATATTATATTGCTGACTTCCTTGAAAAGTCTGTATTTTACTGGGCAGGGCCGCAAACGCACACACACCCTGCTAGCCACAAAACACAGAAATAGATCAGAGCAGGGGCTCGCCTGGGAGGAAACGGAGAAAGGGAGTGGACTGATACTCTCGGCACTAACAGTGGGGTCAAAGAGTGTGCGTATCTGTGTGTGATAACTACACACTCCTCTTTGCCCGGTGAAGCTGCTGGAGGTGTGCGAAGCCAGGTAAAAAAGGGAATTCATACAGAGAATGGGTCAGTGATCTTGAATCTGGCCGCTGAACACACCCAGCTAACCACATACCTCGAAATAGGCAGTAGAGGAGGAGGAGGGAGGACAAGGGGTGACGAAGGGGCAGAGCGAGGGAGGGGGAGGTACAGCAAGGGTACACCTAAGTGGGTGTGTTTTTCTGTGTGGGGTATGTGTTCAGGAGCTCTGAAGTTTGCGTGCCAACTGATGTATAACAGTCTGTTGTTGAGAGACAGGGAGTTCTATATATGAGCACACAGCTATTACGGGAGTCTTTTGATATTTGATCAACTGAATTTAGTTAAAAATACAATGTGTGTGTTCCCTTACCTCTCATTCTCAGCATTTCTCTTGCGTACTCGTTTAATTGTGGCTTTCAACACTTAGCAATTCTTTTTTGGGAGTTTGAAGGCAGCTGCCTTACCCTTTGAGTTAAATATAGCGATAGGTGAACTCAATTGTTGCTCAATTTAGCACAATTACTCACTGTTAGAAGGTAATTTGCCCAGATGGCGCATAATGGCTGTACTAATAAAAGGCTATTAGAAGGACTGGTGATATAGCATGAACCAGAAAAGAAAATACGCTATACTGAGCCAAAAAAATTATTATTTCAGTATATAGGTGAGGAGCAGATTTCAAGTACAGTTTATGAATTTGTCCAATATATAAATCCACCATACTAAAAGCCTCATTGTGCTACACAGAGGCAGTAGCAGTAAAAAAAAAAAAAAAGCACATCTAACCTGCATATCTTACCTGGAATTGTAAAAAGTATACCGACAAGTACTGGCAATTAATTTTTTTCTCATAAATGCAACTGAATATTGCTTAAGCCTGAAATAACCACATCTAGATCTGCATCTAAATGCCAAAATCCCCAAAATGAAACTTAGCCAAAGATGTAGGGGAGAGATAGGATTCGAATGGAGGTTTGAGGAAACTGCTGCCTGGGAGGGGATGTTAGGGCCATGGAAAGGTACAGGCAGGAAAAATCACAGGAATGAATAGAGAGAGAGAGAGTGGAGGGGAGGGGGTAGGATGGGTGGGCAGAGAGCTGGTGGTGGGGGGCACACAGGCATGCAGAGGGTGAGAGGGAATGAATGAGGGCCATTGATAAAGAAGGAGAGAAAGGACAGAGGTGAGGGGAGGGAGAAAGCGAGAGAGAGAGCAAAAGGGAGGGAGGAGGGATCAAACAGTATTTACTCGTGATTCCAGAAAGAAACTGAGATGGGGAGGAAAAAGGTGGTTCGATGGATGGACGGACAGAAGAATCACTAACTGACCTACTGACTAAAACACAGGGTGGGACCATGGCATCTTTGACACAGCAACATATTTGTATCCTCAAAGTCGCCAGTTTTTCCACAAATGAAGTCACCTCAACAGCTGTCACTGCAGTACACAGTAGGCTACAGTGAAGTTTAGAGCTGAGCTTCCCTCTGAAAGGTTACCTCAGTTTAAAGGTGGCACTAAAGTTCCCATGAAATGAAAAACACCTTTTCTGTGTTGTTAGAATTTTTCCCTGGTTATATTGTTAAACTATATATGAAAATGTGTCTTTTTATCTTATTTTTACAGATAATCCTTCAGGTCAGAGACATGGATGGAGGTTGTAGTCAGTCTGCAACATCACCAGCATCAACAGACTCGACTATGAATGCCTCATAAATATTACCTGATGTGTGAGGACGAGGTGGGCCATGGCCCAGTTT